AACTAAACTACTAAGGTTGAGAATAGGAAGGAAATAATATGTGAAAGGATCTAGGGCATAGGTTCACCAATAAATAATACTCCAGGGTAAAACATAGTAATTAATCATTGACATTGCATAAATAACATGATTAACAGGCTCTCGCAATTTATTAATCAACATAGATCTAACAGGCTCTCGCAATTTACTAGATCTAAGTTCTTATTGAAAATAGCCTTTAATATCAAATTAACATCTGCTCGATTCATCAATTTAATATTGTATACTTTTACAAGCCGCAATTGTAAAACATTAAAACAATCCAATAAGAAATTATCACGCAATACTAATAATCAATAATAGTCAATCATCAATGCATCAATTAACCAGATTGTAAAGGGCTCTCGCTACGTATTACAATCACACAATTAATTTATCGGTATTAAATCTCATCTCTCGAATCTTGACTTAACCATTTATAAATTAACTTGCCTATTGAAACTAGACCTAAACATTAATTCTCATCTCTCGATTCTTGAATCAATATTGTCAAACTCATGCATAAAAGATAGGCCTAATCTAGTCACAGAGCATTAAATCAATCAATAGGAAATTAATCTAGCATTGATAATCAACAACAATAATTTACCCCTTCATATTATTTATTAGATCCTCATAAACCCTAGAAATTAAACTACTCACACATAATAAAAACTAAACTAATCAAGGTAATAAAGTAAATCATGATGAAAGGAATAAAATAAATAACTAAGATTAAGGGAAGAGAAATCGTTACCGAAATAATCTGGAATTAATGAAAGAATTAAGAACAAGAGTTTAGAGAGAGATTAAGAGAGAGAAAACTAAGTAGAGAGAGAAAGTCCAAGAAGAAGGTAAGTCAAATTAATCGTCCTAAAAACGTACTTAAAACAAAACTAAAACAACTCCTAATTAGAAACTAATTGCTCGTCAAAAGAGCCTTTCCAGAAACACGCGCCCGATCGGGCGCGCCTTTTTTTTCTCGCACAGCTCTTCTCTCAGCCGCGCCCGATCGAGCTAGCAGCTCACCCGATCGGGCGCGCCTTTGGCCACGCACCAGCACACTTGCGTGCCTTGCCCGATCGAGCTAAGCTGCCCGATCGGGCCCTTGCTTCACCTCGAGGCTCGGAGCTTCGATTGGGCTTATTTCTTTGGCCCAATCCGGATATCCACTTGGGGTCTTGATCACTCGGTCCATATACCTCGGTATCCCGATTACCGAGCCCTTAATCACTGGATCTCACCGGTCTTGGGCTCCAAAGGTGGTCGTGTCCTTCTAGCTTCCGTAGTCGATCCAATAAGGCCCGGGAAAATGCTCCAAGAGTGCAATTTCCTGTAAAATACAACTAAAACTACGAAAAACACTAGAACACACAAATTAGTAATAAAAGTGGCCCGAAAGAGCCAAAAACACTACTAATTATGACCAAGGGACGGGGTTAAAATAATATATAAAATGTACACATCAGACGATACCTTAATAAGCAGGGACGATGGTGAATTATGAGAGTTTACATAACCTAATACCAATGAATTCATGTACAACGATAATGATTCTTAGTATAAAAAGGGATTGTATAATACCATATTTTAATTTCATTTGCTAAACAATAGCCTAATTATCATTAGGAACTAAGCTAAGTTTGATCTAGTGGAAAGGAGAGCACTTTCCAACCATGAGATTAGAGGTTCAATCCCCACTAGTGACAATTTGTGGAGTGGGATTCCCTTACCCTCCCCCCCCCCCACCCCCACTCTCCTAAATTGTCTAGCCTGCTAGTGAGGGGTTTTGGCTTGTTAGATCCATTCATCTTATCTACCAAAAAAATTATATATATATACTTCCTTCATTTCTTTTTAGTTGACACGTTTCTTTAGTCACGTTTTCCAATGTACTTATTCAATCATTAATATCTTTAATTATCGATAAGAAAAAATTATGAAAAGTTGATATTTTGAAAGTATATAACGTGACGAATCTAATAAGATCACACATGACTATATTTTTCATTACGTATAAAGCACAAAACACGGTTATAGGGAGGTGTGTGAGTTGCACTAAAGTCAAAATGTGTCAACTAAAAAAACGGAGGTAGTACAACATTGGGAGTCAACAATGTGTATTTCACATATATATAATTTTTTAATTAGTAAGATATGAGGGGTATGTGTCCCCTACCGTATCACAGGAATGGGGAAATGAGGATCGAAGTCTTAAGTTACATGTATGGTCACTATAAAAATAGTCGCCGCTATAAGGCCAGACATTCTAGATATATTCAATTTCTTTATACGCTTACAAAGTCATTAGTGTTATTGTAAAAGATTACATCACTCAATTAAATTGTACTTGTGTGCTGGTAATTATCGCTTAAGATCAAAGTATTCAAAGTATTAAATTGTACTTGTGTACTACTATAATGCTAAGGACACAAATTCCGATGTTTGATTGAGAACCAAAGAAGAAAGAAAAGGGAGAAAAGTATGAAAAAACGAAGGTGCAGTCATGTTATCTAACAAAAAAGAAACTCTTGGGTCAGGCTTCTTTTCTAGCGAAGGCAACATTCACTTTGCTTTAACAAAGAGGATCTTCCTAAGTTGTTAGTACTTAGTACCAGTATGTACTGAAATTTGGCACTAATTTCAAGAGGATCATCTTCTGTTCCACAAAGCTAAATATTGGCCCTGCCCTCATATATATCTTGAATACATCTTTTGTAGTGACATTATTTTGGAAAAGACTACTCTCTCTGTTTCATTTTATTTGCTCTATTATTAGAGCATGTTTTCATACGTTTATTTTCATTTCAATTCAATTCAACTCCTAATTTCCTTCTCTTATACGGAGTAAAATATTTATTTTAGTTCAGTTCAGTTCAGCTCAGTCAATGAGAACAGACCCTTAGTCCGTACTGTGTAAATTTTAATGGGGGTAAAGTTGCGAAAGAAAGTTTGTGCAAATAAGACAAGACAGAGGAGGTACTTGTTGATATGGCATAAATACAATGAAGTATTGTTATAATTTGAATAACTCGATACTAACCTAAAAAAGATTGACCTAATTCAAGATTTATACGGTTTATGACTAAAGTTTTTTTTTTTCTTATATAAAAAAAATTGTGTACTTCAAAGGAATTAACAATAATTTCAATATGAATTAATCTAATGACCTACACTTGATCCATTATTTATTATGAATGGCTCATACATTATAATGACCAATTCATTCGACTTGAACTAAATTGAATTTGAATGATATGTCTGACCTATTAACTCTCTAAAAAAAAACTCTCTAAGTCTCTTTTATATAACATGTTGAATTATTCAAAAGTAGATAAACCCTACATGTACTTAATTTTAGAGTATACTTAATCTTGGTTTCCTAATCATGTTCCCTTGACTAATAGCTAGCAAACATTTCATACTTTAGCAATAATTAAGCAGTCGTTTCTTTTAATGTATGTACACAAATACTAGCAAACATTTTATGCTTTAGCAGTAATTATGAGTGACTATTATCCTAGCAATGATTGGAAGCAAACTAACTAACCAAGTACACATTTTATATATTGCCATGATATAGTAACTAACGAGAAAAAGGTGTTGGTCAGAAAAGACTACTACATTGTGAAACATAATCCAAAGTTGTATAAATGGACCACCAAAGTGAAGAATCCTAGTAAAGTTTAACACAATCTATGCCCAAATTATTGTAGCACAGTTACATTCCTTTTAGAGGAAGATCTATTTTGAAAAATAAAACGGTGAACAAAAATGTTTTTATTTTAAGTTGTGATAAAATTCCATCTCCAATCCTTGCATTTAATTGAATCTCAGAATAATTTCAAAGACGGTTGAAAAAAGTGCTATGTTGCAAGTAAATATAAATACTCTGGTAGATTCCTAACAATAATTCTACGATAAGAAAATCACTCTAAGCACTTTATCATAAGCATACCAATTATCCCTTTGAATACATATAACATTTCATCTTCTACTACAAGTCATTCTTATTCCGAATTATTCACTTCAATTCTAATAAACTTGTCCATTACCATTATACATGACTTTTAGACGATATCCATAATTGTTGTAAATGCAATTAGTAAGAATATCATAAAGTTATTCTCAAATATTTTAATTACACATACAAACATTATTTAATTGAAATGACACTAGATGTAACAATGTTCAATCTTAATAGAGAACAAATATCTAATATCACGATTGAATTTAGAACAGAGGAAGTATACGAAGTATATATGCATGCCGTCAATAAGATCAACGTAGACAAGAGGGCAAGAGGCCCGGCCACCTCGCCTACTGGCTAAGCACCATCATTTAAAATTAAAAGTTAAAATCTATCTCTCTATTCTTTTGATTGGCAGCAGAAAAACCACATGCACCTATAACATTTTTAGGTTACTCTATTTTAAAATAACACCTCAATTCAAGTAGCCTTTATTATACATCAAAAGGATGTGTGTTCTACACCCTTAAAAAATTAAAATTGTTGCGGGTTTTTAATCTAAGAAGTTACAAAATGAGTACATTATGTCTATTTTGAAATTACTTTTTACACTTTTTTATCGAAACAACTTCATTAAAATTCAAACCACAAATCACCTTGACCTCAAAGTTATTATAATTGTGGTAATGAAGAGGACATAGGATCCTACACTTACTTAGAGGTGTACAAATTCCACCTTTTGAACTTCAAATTGTTTACTAGTTGTCTACTTCTACAGATTCTTGTGTAATAATTATACGTAGTATTATATATTTTATTTACATATTGAAAATTATCCCGTTAATATTGAAATAACTAAATAAGGGCTCGCCAATTTCCTATACAATGGTTGTATATCAATTACATATGAGCCCTAAATCTTGTTTTTCCATCAAGATTGATTAGGCGGATCGGATTACATTATTGGATCATCCAAGTCCTCTATGCCTTTCAACAAAATTTAAAAAGATCGATCTATGAACGGCCGAGCATACCATTATTATTAACATCAATGAAAGCATACCTTAGCATGAAGTATAAAAGGTAAATAGTTAGAGAGGTAAACTCTTCAAAGTCGTTATATTCTACTTAGATGACTAATAACGGACCAAAAAAATTGAGAACTCCAAAGGATGGAATAATTGTTTGTAGTAAAAAAAAAAAAAAGTTTTGGATCTAAAGAAAATAAATTATGCTTAAACCTACCAAAATTATCAAAGCTCAACCATAGGGAGAATTCCTCCCAAGAGGGGTGCCTTGACTAGCCGGTGACAACCTCTCTAGCTTAGGCGACGACTCAAATTTCTTGTCACCCCCAACAACAATATCACTAGTTAGGAGTGGCTTAGACTCATAAATCTCCGAGATCGAATCGATTTGATGCTCAGCACCACTCCTATGATGATCCAAAGATGGTGGTGCAATTTGTATATCGGTACCCTTAAAAGGGTCTTCATGATCTTGAGGATTTCCTAAGCAATTAGCCGCGGTTGGAGGTCCAAGTTCTTGAAGACGAAGATGATCATCGGACCAAATTAAAGGACTCTTACCATTATTATTGTTATTCCCATTGTTATAAGGGTTTGGTCTCTTCTTATTTCCTAAGCAAAGGCTATCACTTGGAACTTGCATGAAGTTCTCAAGTGATGAAGAACGGTCCAAACTCGAGTGAAGATCTAATGCTTGCTCACCACCATAGATGTTAAGGTCTTGGAGAGATGGGAAATTCATCGGGCCGAATTCTTTCATAGGTCCTTCTAAGTGGTCTCCGGCCATTGTTGGGCTATTATTGCCTAGGATGTTGTTGTTGCCTTTGTTGTTATAGCTTGCTGAAGCTGCCATATTGGTTTCTCCTGCTAGTGTTTGACAAGCTTTTTCTAGTATGTTTTGCATGTATTTTCCTTGTGCCTCAATTCTTAGTTGCAAATGTCTTTGGACCTGCCATTAACAATAATAATCAATATAATAATTAGCACATCATAATTTTTTTCTACAACTTTCATTAAAAATAATGGAGTACATGTAGAGTAGTATGTCAAATTGTATACATTAACTATCATGCATACAATATTACCATGTAATCATATGCAATGTAAGATAACGTGACAATTGATTCTGAATAAGAGTAAATTTCTTTTCTAAAAACGTTTTTCATCGATGTTTGATATGCTTAATTTATTGGAAAAAAGAATTAGATTTTTAGAGGATCGGAGCTATATATTTATTTGAATTAATATATATTAGTCTCACCTCTAATTGTTCTTGGAGCCTCCTTTGCACCTCCAATTGCATCCTAATTGCATCACTAATGTGCACATTGCTGCTGCCATAGTTGCAAAAGGAACAAAAATTATATTTATTAATTTAAAAGAACAATTTATAAATAACAATGAAAATCAAATTAAAAATCCAAGATATAAATTAAAAGAAAGAGAAAGATAAAAGTGTAAAAGAAGATGCCAGATAAAAAGATATTCTAGGAGGGAGTGGTTCTTAAACAATTGTAAGGTTACTTCAATGAGAAGTTGCCTTACAAAAGTTTTTGTTCAAATGACAAAAAAAAAATAAACTGCTAACTTACTAATTGTTGCGGTGAATGAAATAAATAAAACATGATATAAATGGTAAAAACACATACTCATTCATAGTACGACCCATTAATCCGGAGGATGATGCAGTGTTCCTCTGAAGCTCCAACGACGTAGCTGCAACAACCGCGAATATGAAACAAACAAAGATCACAAATGAGTTAGTTTTTCTTTCATTTACATACAACTATATGACATGCATGTAGAAAATTTAATTCAACATGTAATAGATAAAATTATGAATTGAAGATGATAAACCCTAGCTAATTTAATTAACATTAATTAATGATTAGTCACCTCTCTTACCATCTTGCTTAACCGAGTGATGATCATTGAAATCTTTATGAGGCTGCTTTCCCAGCCGAAATTTCTGTATTATAAGAACACAAGATGCAAAGTTTAGTTGGGAATCAAAACATGAAAATTTGAATAATATTAAGTGCAATTATAAACATAAGAATCTCAACATAAAAGTAATATTCAATAATATATATGAAGTACTAGTTTAAGAAATTTTTTAATATACAATAGTTGCACCATCATGTTAATATAAAGTTCAATGACCTTCTCACAATATTTGAAAATTAGTGAATTTTGTAGAACAAGTTCATAATTTTGGTTTTAAAAAAGATATAGATTGAAATTTAATTAATTAATTAATTAATAGTGTTGTTAGATATTATTAGGGCTTAATATTATAGAAATTGCTACAAGAAAGTTATAAAAATTATGAGTAAATAATCAAACCTGAAGATGGCTCTTGAGGTGGTACAAAGTGAGACCCTTAACACCCATAACTCTCATGATCGTCTTTGGTGTAGCCTCTGCATAAATTTAATCCGCACCAACAAATTAGTATGAAAATTAAACAACAACAAAAAAAAAAACGTTACTAAAATTATAAGACATACAAATACTTATAAACAATATTAATTACATCGATATTTAAAACTGACAAGTAATAACGCACTGCACCAAAATCTTAAAATTTCCATAAGTATAAAAGAGGGTAAGAGGAAAGTACTATCAGGGCCGCCGAGCTGAGTAACAGCATCAACAAAGCGTTCATGGAGCTCGACAGTCCAACGAAGGCGGGGCTTAGGGTCAGTAGTAAGAACGAGGCCGGAGTCGTTTTGAACACACATAGAAGAAGTCCTTTCATTTGAATTCATAGAAGAAGGCTTCTTAGGGTGGTGGAACATTCTTTCCTTCTTTCTTTCTTTTTTTTTTTTTTTTTTTTGTTTTCTTTCTCTCTCTTCTTTCTCTCAAGAATACGAACAAATGCGATATGCAAATAAGGAAGAGAATAGGATGCGGTTTTTTTAAGGGTGAGCAATGGAGCTGGTCCTTAACTTTATGTTATTTTTAACTACAATTCTTCCTTCTACTCTATCTTTAATTTATCTCTTTTAGTGGGGACTATACTATAATTTTTACATCTCTTTTGTGGAATTGAAGACTGTCCCTCCCATGCAAATTAGCGTTTTTTTATATTTAATTCCCAGTCCTTAGGAGGGTACACTACAAGATTCCGCTTTTTTACTGAACGTTTTTGTACTACGTAATTAAAATGTGTCAATGTATATTTCCTTTCTTTTTTTTTAACTATTTGGAGATTTATGTTTAATTTGCATGTACTCATATAGATTATGTTATTTCCCTCGATCTCTTAAACTGTCTAGCTTGCTAATTCTGATCAGATTGTCTCATAAAGGGTTTCAATATGATACAACCCTTCATCTTATGGTCTTACCTACAAATATATATATATATATATATATATATATATATATATATATATATATATATATATATATATATATATATATATATATATATATATAGTTTATTTTATTAATGAATGTATACAATATTTGAATATATTTATTTATCTTATGTACATAAAATAAATACTTAATAGTTTAAAAGTAGTTATACATATTGAAATGAATATAATACGATTTTGCATACCTTTATTTTACTAACTTAATTGCAGCTCACACAGTGGCGGAGCCAGGATTTTCAACTTGGGGGGACAAAATCGTACACTGAATCTTCCTCTAATGGTACATTACTATTACTTTAGCCACCCATTTCGATACCATTTTCTTGACTTTGAGGGGAGCTAAATGAAGGTGAGTTATTGGACTCATTTTCATTGAGTTTCGTTCTTTTAAACAAGAATTGTCGAAGATCGGGTTGTTTAGTTGCCTTGGATTTGTTTGAATTTGGAGAATCTTTTGAGATTTTCTAATTAAATTGAAAATTATACATCAATTTCCACAATCCACATCATTACTTAATAACAAAACCTAAGATTCTAATTTCTAAATTTCTAATTCAACTATACATTTCAATAATTAGAATCACAAAAACAGGGGAAAAAAATTATAAACTATAAAACAAATTTTCAATACCAATAATTCAGAGATTAAACATTTCAATTTTCAATAAATTCAATACTTCAAAGTTCAAAACTTCAATACGCCCACAAATCAACAAATGACAAATCCACAATAATATCAATTAAACAAGTAATAAGTTGAAATTCGTCGTCTTCAATACCCACAAATGACAAATCGTCAAATCCACAATAATTCTCAATCGAAATTAAACAAGACTAGCAAGTAATAAGTTGATATATACAACAAATTCATCAATTAAACAAGTAATAAGTTGAAATTCAGATTTACATACATCCATTGATTTGGGTGAATTAGGTCTAGCGAAGACCGGAAGACCGAAGACAGCAAGACAACCAACACGGGCGACACCGCACACCGGCGACACGAACTGTCGTCTGTCGAACTCCAAGTCACGAACTGGTGATTTGGTTGAACGGAACCGGCGACGGGAGCAGGGGCGGAGACAATTAAGGGCGGAAGACCGAAGACAGCAAGACACCCGGCCACACCGCCACTGGATGGGAGAAGGCGCGAACGAACCAACGAACGGACGAAGTGCCGCCGACAAGCCTGACTGCCTGAGAACTCCATGTCTCCAATTTTCGAACTTTGAAGAGAGAGAAATTAAGAATTGAGAAAGTTAGGGTTTAGTTTTTGCAATTTCTTTTCTTCTTCTTTCGGTCTCAGCGTGTTTCTTTCATTTTTTTTTGTTTTATTTTTTTTTTTTAATTTTTTTTTTTTTTTGAAAATGGGGGGACAAGTGTCCCCACATGTCCCTTAATTGGCTCCGCCCCTGAGCTCACATGAGATTATTATTATTATTATTATTATTATTATTATTATTATTATTATTACTATTATTATTATTATTATTTCATATTTTAATAGTGTAAAAATCCAAATAATGTCTTTAATAAAAGTGGAGAAATTATAATATTTATTTTTTAGAAAAAAAAAGTTCAAAACCATTAAGGTAGTGATATTATTGCTTTGTGTGTAACAGTACTACTACATATATTATATAAATTCCTATGTTCTCGATCTTATAGTATAGGTTTTCTACTTTTCTATGTGATGTGTAGATTTGCTTTTTAGATTGATTGAAAGAGAGTAACACTCTGGACAATGCAATGGTGCCTGTTATGGTAAAAAAATACTTGTAATAATTTTATTGATAAAAAATACGAGTACTTATGTTTTATTTGATAATAACAAATTCTTGAATAAGTCGGGATTACATAAGCTTATTGTAAGACAGGTTAAAATTACGTTAAAAGTTTTTAAAATTATCCTTATATACTTCGTACTACTTTTTATAAAAGTTACCATTTTTGTAACATACAAATTTTACCTTTAAAAATTACTCATAATACGTACTCAAACTGACCGTCTATCAATAACATTAACAAAAGTTTGTTTTAGTTTATACAAGGCTTATTGTTTATTTTATTTATTTATTTATTTTTTTTGAAATAAGGCTTATTGTTTATTTATTTCCTCTTATACAGGGTTTTTTTTTTTTTTTTTTTAATTACGCCCTAGAAGATGTGGACCCTAATGCCAAAAAATAAATGTGCATGCACTTAAAAAAACTTACCTCGGTTTCTTATTGTTTGTTACAACCCTTGATCAAGGTATAATTTTTTTTTTTTTTTTTTTGGTTGAAACCTCAAGGTATAAATATTAAATAACAAGGTTGATTTAATTATTCTATATTAGAATGAAGACAATTTCTTGAAGTTTATATATTCTTATTTGAAAAAAATCCAAAATTCAATTCATAAATTTCAAAATAATGATTTTTATATCTCTAGCTAATAATTGTATGACAAAAATTTAGAACTACAATTCTTTTTTTTTTCTTTCATTAAAAAAGTATAGAGTATATATGGAGTATTTGAAAGAATGATTACTATCATATAGAAACATAAAAGAAATAAAATAATTTTTTTAAAAAAAAACGCAAACTGAAGAGAGATTCTATCTAAAGAAGCAATTGAAGTGGTTCATCCACATATCCCCAAGAAGAATATATGCTTCCTTCTTTGACAATTCAGTATTGATTCGCCTTCCTATATCTTAAATATTAAGGACTTGTAAAGACAGCCTCTTCAACAATGTTACCAATAAAATTTTATTCTTAGGCCCTGTTTGATTCACCTTAATTTTGCTGAATTGAAATTATTTTTACTGAACTGAACTTATTTTTACTGAACTGAACTTAATTTTACTGAACTGAAATAATTTTTACTGAACTTAAATTATTTTTACTGATTTTCTATTATAATTCTTCTTTAAGAAAACTGAATTTTACTGAACTGAACTTATTTTTACTGAACTGAAATTATTTTTACTGAATTGAAATTAATTTTACTGAACTGAACTTATTTTTACTGAACTGAACTTATTTACTGAACTGAAATTATTTTTACTTAATATTATTTTTTTAAGGTGAAAAGAACAGGGCCTTATTTATTAATTTTTCACAACTAAGAAATTCAGCTTATATCTTTTTACTGATTTTTTATTTAATACAAACTAAGGGTGCATTATTTTAATAACCTGTTTATTTAGCTGTTAATTGAACTTGGGTGGTTCTTAATTATGAGCCCTTATCAACATTTAAAAGAAGTTATATTTTCTGAACTTGTCTTATTATCTAAACTGTGGATCGAATATGGGAAAAAAAAATTGAGAAGGTTTGGTAGGTATTAGAAAAAAATGAATAGTAAAAAAAGAATGGGTTCGATAATAGCTTTTGCCTATCTTTTAATTTAGGTAGCCAGCTTTACTTAATAAAAAATTTGAGTGTTTGACAATGTAGTGGTAGGCGTAATGTTTAGTGCTGAAGGCAACTTTTGATAATTAAAATTAAAGTAGTTATTGGCATTTTTAAGAGGTAACAAACTAGTCAACCGCTAAACACTTATTATTGATCATCAATCTTCATAACTAACAATCAATTTGTTAACAACTACTCCCTCTGTTTTTAAATACTTGCTCCATTTCTATTTTTTGCACTATTTATTTGTCCTACTTTGACTAATGTTTGTGATTTATACATAAGAAAAAATATAATCTTGTGGGTACTTGTTGGAATCATCTCAATGAATAGATTATTAATTTTCAATTGTTGGAATTTATACTTATTGATAATTAAAGATATTAGTGATCAAAGATTAGCATCGGCATGCGTGTCCAAGAGAAATGGAACAAGTATTTAAAAACGGAGGGAGTAATATTTACCCACACAACTTACATCTTCTAGGACAACTAACAAGTAACAAGCTAGCAACCACCTATACAACTACAAATTAAATATGTTTTGTAGAATAGTACGTAGTAAGTAAAACTAGTAGTAATAAAGTGGTACATGCATGGGTAGGTAAAGAAAAAAAATTCACAAAAAATAGAAAATTTGAAGATGTCATTACAAATGAAATAAAATTTGGCCAGAATGATAGATTAACTTTTGGATTTATATTGTTTTCATATATTAGCTATATATAGTCTATGAAATTGAAGAATAATTAGTTAAGATCAGATAGTTAATTTTCAATTCTCTCTTACCATCTTAAATTAATTGATTGTAGTGTATTGATCCTCTTTTGCTTTGCTAATCTTGAAACATAAATTGATAGCAAAGTCGCAAATTTGAGAATCATTTATACAGTCCCAATTTTCAATTCACTAGTATATTTTTGTATTAATCAATTCCTTCTCTCAATTGAAGTAGTAATCCATTGTTTTGGGGTTGGCTTCACAATATAGACTCAACTTTATAGACACTTGTTAATTATGGTACCCAAATCAACCATCACAAAATGAATCCCATATATTACTTCAATACTGAGTATCTTTTTTAGAGTATGTACCAATATATACCAATACCTTTTTTAGAGTATGTACCAATATATACTAATACTAATAATACCTCGTCTCCTACCTTTATTTTAAACTAGACATGTCACAAACTTATTTTTTTACCTTTTATAGGCAACCTCTAATACCATTAATTTGATATTACATATTTCCCCCTTACTTCTCCGATCCATCCCTAGGCCAACTTCTTGTCTTCCTCTCTTTTCTTTGCCCACCAATGCAACCCACAATTGCAATAATGCCACCACCTATTGAAAGCAATGCAAGTGAATGAGAGAAGAAGTAGATGTTAGACACCTTGGCCAATAGAGGGAGCTAGAGATTGAGATAGACGAGAAGGTCGGAGAAGGGATCTCAAGGAAAGACGACAATATTGGAAGCTAATTAGGGATAGAGTCATAGAGGAGGGAAGGAAGGGGGGGGGGGGGGGGGGGGAGGGGGGAGGAGAGAA